GACCAATTTACCTAGAAGATCGTTGGCCAGGTCACCGGGAGAAACTCCTTTCTCTTTTCAAATAGTGCCATGGGATCTTTAATGTCCACCTGAATAAGCAGATGGGAGAAGTAATACCCTGCAGTCCTTATTTTTGAGATCAAGAATAGAAATAAGAGTCTAATGAACAGGTTTTCTGCTTCCTTCCCATATTTCACAATTTAAAAGGTTTGAAACAAAACCATTTTTCTTCTGGACAGAGGCAAACATCAGTTATAAAGCAAATTCAATTCAACATAGAGGAAAAGGACAAAATACTTCATTTGTGCCATTTGGCATGAAGATAAAATAAGGTAACCATGCTGTTTAACACACTTGTTCATTAACAAATCTTTCATTCCATGCTTACATTGTGATTTATAATTATAAAAGCTGAGCAGAAAGTTCCTAGAGCCCGGTGTTTGGTTATGCAACACACAACACTGCTGAGAACTGCTGTAAGATTCACATTTCAAAACCTCCTGTTGAAAACTGTTAATAATAATAATAATCCTTGCATTTGATATAGCGCTTTTCACGTCGGGAGGACATCCCAAAGCGCTTCACAGAACACACTGTAAAGTGAATTGACTGTATATTTGTGGGTGAACGCGGCAGCCAATTGCGCACAGCAATGTCCCACAAACAGTCGTAGATTGAAAATGACCAATTTATTATTGTTTTTGGAGGGATTATTATTAGGCGTGTGGAGTAAGGAAACTTGCCCAAGGTCTCGCCCTGCCTGGAATTGAATTCAGGTCTCTCGCTTGCAAAGCGAGTGCTCTAACCACTGAACTACAGGACTCCACCTTGGGACGTCCTGTTGAAACCTTAGAAGTCAAAATCAAGTTTCAATTCACATGTGAGGCTTCCTACTCTACAAATCAGGGAAGATGCTCCAGGATCAAGGGCTTCCCTGTCTTCTCTTTGACTCGCAGCAACGCATTTAACATCCCATTGCCTACACTTACAATGAAAACATCAGTCTTCCAGAGGACTAGATCTCAAGCATAGAAGGATTTATTTCTAAAGCAAATTCATCTCCCCCCACCCATGTTATTCAAACATTTCTATATTAATGGTGAGTTTTTGTTCATCAAAAGTGAACAATGTCAATACTGGGGAATAGAACATTTCTAGTATCTAGTAGGCAGCAATGAGTAGTCCCAGGCCATGTACAAGATGAGTTAGGAAAAGGTTAAGCTCCCTCTGCTCTGCCCAAACCATATGTTTAGCTACAACCTCAGAAGAGAGCTCAACCATGTGCTATTTCTATTTTTCATATCAGCCAATCCTTGTTGACTGTCCGAATGAAATTGCCAAATTAGGGGCAGAACATAGCAGGACAGTCCAAACACATTTTGCTCTCCACCCTCGCCAATCCCGAACCCTATCTCAGATCCGAAACACTGACCGTCCAGTACCTTGGGACGTCCTCCCGATGTGAGAGGCGCTATGTAATTTTGTTGTTGTATTAGAGCGCGTAAAGTCTAAATCCATTCAGTCCAAGCTGAATCTGACCCAAGTACAAGAAATGAAAGGACAACATTCTAACCAACTTTATCATCCAGTCCGCTACTTCAGCCTCGTTATTAACTAAAAAAAGTACTATTTTAGCACTGTAAAACATCTTAAAACACTTCACAGATGATTAGGGCATTTTGTGTAGGCAAACACAGCAGTCATTTGCACACAGCCAGGTCCCAAACAAATATGAGATGAAGACTAATTTATCTGGAGGATTGTTGACCAAGACCCTGGGAGAAATTCTTCACTTTTCAAATAGTGCCATGGGAGATTTAACGTCCACCTGAACTGGCAGACGGGACCTCGGTTTAACCGGAAGGAGTGCTTACTCAGATTTCTTAATTAAGAAATCCACTAAGAAATACTTTAAAACTGTCCCTCAATGTAGTGCTCCCCAGTACTGCACTGCAGTATCATCTTAGGCTTTGAGTTCAAATCCTGATGTGGGGCTTGAACCCACAACTTTCTGATCCACAGGTGAGAGTGCTATTCGGAGCTGAGTCAAGCTAATGTGCTATAGGAATGTATCTCTCAAAGATTAGCGATAAAGTATGTATTCCACATTAAAGGTTGCAAATGTTTCTATCCTTCGTGCTTCACACAAGTATCTCCACCAGATTATTCTGAAGCATCACTCGGAATTGGTTTGAACTTCATGTTTCATGTGAAAAAAATTGTCAAAGGTTATTCTGAATAGAGAACGATACACAAAACAGAAGAGTTCCCTGAGCAATAAAGTGAGGAAACACAAAGCAAAATGAGAAAGGGTGGAGTTGGGCGGTGAGACTGCTACACTGTGAGCATGGCTTGCGTCTGACTGGAGAATTGTTGGATCAAAACTAAAATGGATTTCCTTGGAAAAGTGCAATGAAGCTCAGGTACATTTGGCAAGCTCATAGGACATGATTGTCAATCACAAGCAGACTATAAAAAAGCTATTGCATCTATCAATTGCTGGATCCCAGTAAAACTATCTCCGAGCTTCTTTTCATTCTTGATGAGAACAATGCCAATAGGAAGAGTTGTATCCAGACCACAACGATCCACCTCTCCAAAGAGGGTGGCAGCTTTCCTCTCCATGTTGACTATCAATATTCTCAACAAGTGCGGTGCTAGTTCCAAATCCCACTGGATTTTATCCAGTTTCTATATTGTGTGGCTGGCACCATTCCAGAAAACAACAGGAATAAAATGCCTGAATCGGGTACTTCCTCCCCCCTCTCCCCTCCCCTCCTCCCAACCCAATAATGGAGCAAAGGTGCTGCTGAGAAAGAGCAATGCTAACTGACAAAGCTAGTGAAGCCACCCCCTCTCCCGCTCCATTTTGTCTCTCTATCAATTCGCTATTTACCAAGAGAAACTACGCACACGAATAACAGTGAGACCATCTCAAGCTGGAGTTTTATCGGCTGAATTGCACTCACTTTCTCTCCCTCTCGCATTGTCCCCTTTTCTTCTTTCTTTTAATTGTTTGATCAACATCTTATTGCTTTGGGAAACCTATCTTGTTTGAAAAAAGCGTCACCCAAGGACTTGCATGGATGAGTATTTTGCCTCTGATTTGGTATCCAGGTGGGATTTTCACCATGAGGTATAATTTGTGATATTCTTCAGAGAGATGGGAAGCACAAATGTGAACCTCCACAGTAAGCCTGCGAGGTTTGGGAATTACGAGAGCTGAAGTGTGAAAAAAAGTCCACCCGGAAAACAAAATGGATAGCTGCATACAGATGAGGTTTTGTTCTCTGGACTTTATTTTGCACTTTGGTAGCTTTCAGAATTCACAGTTAGTGCTTCCCATGCCTTTGCAAGTCATGCAAATTAAACTCCAATGAGAAATTAAAAAGGCCGCAATTAACCAATGATTTGCTGGAACATTTCAATGCCAATCAGTGCCCACACTCAAAATCCAGTGCAGAATGCTGAAGTCGCATTTCTCTAATGAAGACAATACTCACATCAATTGGCCTTCATAGACTAGTAACGTTATACATCTCACAAAATACGTAGCTCTCCTCGTGTTATTTGCAAATGCTCTGACATTTCATAGAGTCTTCCTAAAGTTTACATTTACAGCCATGAGAAAAGTCTGATCCAGTGTTGCAATGTGGCCATTCCTTACAGGACAAACTTACAGACACAACACCTGTTTGCTCAGAAATCTATTAGATTCACAAACGTTTGCTTAAACATTAGGCCATCGCGCAAAGCAGTTGTCATAAGAACACATTTCTGATTGAAATGAGATTGCAATATGGAATAGTTTTTTTAAAATAGAAAGGTATTAATTATTTTCATGGCTCAAATTCAAATTTGGGTTAGTAGCATTGGCTAGCCTTAGAAAAAAATGAATGTGAAAAAATCCTGGATTGACTTAATTTCTATGCATATGAATTTAGCCTAAGTACACTCGTGAAATGAACCCCGTCTCCCTGGGTGTTTCAAACAACATTAGACTGTAGACTGGAGCAGGACCTTGTTCATGAAGTCTGTAAGAAGGCTATAATAAAATTAAGCACATGGAATGGTAGCAACTGACCGCTCACATCTCTAAACTCTTTTACCACACATCAATACCAGCATCTGCCTGAATCTATCCAATACACAAACTATTACTTCTATTTTGTAAAAAAAACAGGACCATTAAAGCTTCCATTACAAGGTTTTGGAACAGAAAGTATTCTGAGGTTGTCGCTGCAGCTAAAAGGCCAAATATTGTATTTTTTACTTTTTTGTCATTCTGTGCAACTTTCTACATAAAAATATAGTTTAATGTGGAAAACTAGTGCTTTTTTTTCTAGAATTTACATTTATAGGAGTCCTCAAGCAACAAATCCCTAAAACACCTCTTTACATATAATATCCTAGTGTCCACACTCAATTTCTGAACAATCCAGACAAGGCTTTTCTTTATACTGTAACCTATTCTCTCCGATACCCTTTTCCCAACATATATTATTGTACTTATACATATATTGGAAATGTCAATTCTTTATAAACACCTAAAAATTGCAAGACATGTAAAACTAACAAAAATAAAACAGAAAAAAAAACATAGAAATAGTTAAGCCTACTAGGCCCAAATTCTTTTAAATTATCTCCAAGCCACGAACAGAAGGAATAATACTGTGAAATCACGGTTCTGTTCTAGTTTATATGTACATTTACCACATTACCAGCATCCGATTGCTAAAACGTACCCCCAAAACAGATAAAAGTATAACGTCTTAACTTTTGTACAGTTCTGCCCAGTTCCGCAAAGCCCCCCCACCCCACCCCTGGTCAGGTGCAGTATTTACATTCTTAATCTGTAACGGTGAAAAAGAATCTATTAAGTGCAGGACATTCCTAGTGTTGCAGTAGTGATTTTTTTTAAGTCTTGAATTTGCACTTTCTTGCATTTGTCTGAAGAGTGCGCTTTACTGAGAGGTGGCTTGGTGCACCTGCCATAGCCGTCACTTGGGGATAGTGGAAGAGTCCGGGTTAAAGAGCTCCTTGTACAGCGGAGGGAACAGACTGTTGGCTGTCTCCGGGTGCAAGAGTTTGAACGCCTGCAGTTTGTGAGTGTGCAGGTTGCAAAGTGCAGTTAATGTTGGTAACCTGGAGATCAGCTGGAAAAGAGAATGAAACAAATGCTTTACTATACTTTTCTCTGAAGCAGACTTGTTAAAAAATAACGATAATCCTTGAAGTTCATGTAGCGCCTTTTCACATTGAAAAGTGCAGTTTTTTACCTGACAACTAGCCATGAAGTGAATGATCAATCTTCTCTAGTGCATTTACCCTCTGGAAATTCTTGCTTCATTCCCTTTTTGCCCATCTCTATCTTCAGATCACACCTAAAGACTTTCCCCATCGACTGTGCCTATGGTTACCTCCTCTTTCTTTCTGGCCATTGTTAAACGCCTCAAGAAGGGGTAAATGCTATATAAAAGCAAGTTGTTGTTGGGTAAGACACCAGGAGAAAACTCTCTTATAGTGCCATAGGATCTTTAACAAACACCTGAACAGGCAGGTGAGATGGGACATGTCATACAGATAAATGGGACATGTTTTAAACCTCTTTGTGGCGCTGGTGTAAAGTATGACAGTGAATCTGGGCTGAAAAAAGATGAGCACAAAGTCCAACATGGAGCCCTAACATGACAATCAAACGATCAGAAGATTGGTTTGGTTGAAGATACCTCTTTGTCTCATTTGATCTCATCATCCTGAAATACCCTCCCCACCCCACAAAGATTTTACTAACCCTTTTCCTAATCTTGCAAATTTAGACCTCAATAATATATCATTGCTGTACTCTTTCTTATTTAACTTGCTTTTGTCCCTTGGCTTTACCACCCCATAAAACAACAACTTGCACTTATATAGCGCCCTCTATGAAGGGTAGTCCTTAACAGTGGTGGAGCCTGAGTGTACCAGAGCTTCGTGGTGTAGTGGCTGAAAGTGTGGCCTCTGATGGTGGGGCGGAGGGTGTGAGGGACGAGCAGGAGGCTGGTGCCAGTTGAGCTGAGGCTCCATGGAATGGATTGGGTGTGAGGAGGTCGGAGAGCCAGGGAGTTGCCAGAGCAGTGAATTGGTTTGAACATGAGTGTGAGGATGATGAAGTCGATCCGTTTGGTGATGGGGAGCCACTGGGGAGCCTGACCAGAACTGGTGACATATGAGTACAACGTTTGGTCTGGGTCAGTATGAGGTGGCAGAGTTCTGAATGAGCTGGATCATTCGAATAGTGGGAATAGTGAATAGAAAATGCCACAACATTGCTTCCAACATCCTTTTCACGGCTCTGTACTGTATTTGGCACCACTGATTACCCATCAGGAAGTCTGAAGCTCACCTTTGCTAATGCGTCGTCGTCCAGGTGGTTTTTCTGAATCACATGCTGTAGTGCAAAATAAACCTTTTCCTGTAGCTTCTGAACCTTTCTTGGTTCCATCAACCATGGTCGATCTGAAGAATAAAAGAGTACAGAGGAGGTGCCACATTAGGACATCAGTGACTTTCTCTTTGAAAGATGAGGAAAAGGAGAGCTAGCAAACTGCTGCATTGCAGCAATTATTTCCTCTCACTAAGAAGAGAGTTTGGAGCGTACTTGTGCAGGCCACTGATAATAATAATAATCCTTGCATTTGATGTAATGCTTTTCACGTCTTCTAGACATCTCAAAGCGCTTCACAGAATATACTGTAAAGTGAATTGACCGTATATTTGTGGCAAAACGCGGCAGCCAATTACCCACAGCAGTGTCCCACAAACAGTCATGGATTGAAGTGACCAATTTCTTTTTTTTAAGGATTATTATTAGGCGTGTGGAGTAAGGAAACTTGCCCAAGGTTTCACCCTGCCAGGAATCGAACCCAGGTCTCTCGCTTGCAAGGCGAGAGCTCTAACCACTGAGATACAGGACTCCACTAAACTCACCTGGAGAAATTAGTACAGCTGCTGAAAATAAAGCGATCTCCTCTTCGGTCAGCTGCAGCGCACACAAACTCTTTGCGAAGTCAAAGGCGGCGCTCACAAGGTCATCACAACCTTCAAGAGAAATTAACATCCAGACTCAACATCAACATACCAGCACCTACAGCAAAAGGTGTACAGCATTTGTTGCTCCCATGAACAGCTCTGACTGCCTTCTTCTACTGCATTTACAGTAATACTTTACAGACATTATTGCCAAACATGGAAAGAAAGAACATGCAATTTTATAGTTCCTTATCAAGTCAAAAAAACCTTCCAGGTACTGACTGCTTTTGTGTCAAGAGTGGCAAGTCATTTTTATGCACAGCAAAGTCCCAAAAATAGCTTTGAGGTGAATGACCAATCGATCTGGAGGATTTTGGGCCAATACATCAGGAGAATTCTATTCTCTTTTTTATCCTCTGGAAATTCTTGCCTCATTGTTCTATTCTCATTACACGCTGATCTAGATGACACATTAGAACAGTTTGAAACACTGTCATTGTGAAGGTCTTGTCTTACCGAGTGCTTTAAATGTTTGCATTCCTCCATATTTTCCTTCAAAAAGCACTGTGTTATTCAGTGGGTTAAAGGCACGGCACATTCTGACCAAGACCACCTCCAAACAACCTGCAATACAAAAAACAGCTCAGGAGTGAGGCGAAATGCAGACATTTAATATTAATAATAATACTTGCATTTGATATAGCGACTTTCACATCAGGTGGGTCTCAAAACCTTCACAGTATTTACTGTATAGTGTAGTAAATTTGAACAGGCAGACAAGACCTCAGTTTAACTCTTATCCAAAGGAATCCACCTCCAACAGTGTAATTTGCAACTTGGATTCCTTATCAGGCAGAAGCACTGTAAATTAAGAAGTACTGTAAATTAATCATTTTGATAGCTGAAGCTAAAAGTTTTAAATTCAAAAGGCTGCAACAAGATTAGACATAGATTAGACAGAGCATCTTGATGCAGTGATGAGGGGATGGGTAGAGTTGGTGTCCTGGAGGGATGATATTGGCTGGGACTTCTTCATCCAGACCAATCTTGTGATCTGAAGCAAAGCTATTGAATTGCTACATCTTGGTGAAGTTAAAAAAAAAACCCGGTCAAGTATCTGTTGGAGAATCATATGTTTTGCTTCCCCCAGGAAAAGGATCAGGTGGGGTGATGTTCAGGATGGGGTAGGCTTTGTGAGGTCTATGAGGAAACATCTTGATGGTCTGAATGGCCTTTTCCTGATTCATGCTACATTATGTTCTTAAACCCCAGCAACGAAAAATCACCTACATTGCACATTGCTACCACAGGATATCTTACCTGATTTGAGAAGGAGAATTTGATCATTCTGACACAAGTCCATGAACCCCGTGATGCGTTTGGCAAATTCAACTACATACTGAATCGCATGTGTGATCTGGATCGCACACTGCTGCCATATGACTTCTCTCGCCTTTTCAAGAATAAAAAGAAGAAACAGACAATGAAGAGAAACAAGAAACAAAAGTCTAGCGCTACAGGCACATCTCTGAAAGAACACTGAAGCATGCGTCAGATGTCCATTTAAATTACCCTTCATTTTGGCAGCTAATTCCTGCATCTGTAATCATTCAAGTTATTTTGCAACACAAATTGAAGCATGTTGAGGTTAAGGATGACTTCCCCTCTCCCCTCTCATCTCTTGCTCAATGATATAGAGTTGGTTAATCCGTTCTAGAACGCTGTCCCAACGCTGATGATTGATATTTAAATGCAACAGAAGAGGATAATAATAATAGTCCTTACATTGATACAGTGCCTCATCATGTCAAAGAGAAATCACAAAGCGCTTCACAGGATTTTACTGTGAAGCATAGTGACTGTGTATGTATAGACAATTGCAGGATACTGACTAAATTAAGTCAGCTTTCTCTTCTGCACCCAAATTCTGTCTCTTTGAAAAGGATTGCAGATCTCAGTAGGCTGGGAGCCTGAAAATCCATGATCAAGCCACAACAGTCCTACAGTCAACAATCTGAAGGAAGTTGAGAATGCGTGTGGGTTGGGGAAGGGGATACAAAGTCATATTACCTATCGAACAGTAAGAAATGATTTGTGTTTTATTACCAAATGCCACAAATATCGGCTCATAAATATCTTCTGAATGTCAGAGTTACCTTGTTTTGGTAAATTTTAATTTCTTCATATGTATGCGTCTGCCATGCCAGCTGCTGAAGTTCCTCCATGGTGTACTGGCACGTCTCCAAGTGGGACTTTATAATATTCTGCGCAATACGATCTGAGAATCACAGATATAAAATACAAGAAAGAAGTCAATTAGCCAGCCTTGGACTTGCACACCGAAAATCTGGCACCATGACAGCTGGAAGAGTTGCACTTAACATTCATCCTATTCCTTCTATGTGCTTTTAAATATGAGCACTTCAAGGTCATGTTATATAATTACTACACTGAATGAAACAATATGAAAATAAAACAGAGATGGGCTCTGGTCTGTTGTTACTGCTAGGATCAGGATGCCTTTTCTATAGTGCGCTCAGATCATAGAAATATCATACAGAAGATGGCCATTTGACCTATTATGTCTGTGCTGGTCCTCGTTCCCCCAATGAAACTATGCTCTGTAATCTCATTCCATCTGTACTTTCCCCAAACCTTTAATATCACTTTTGCTGAAATGTTAATCCAATTCACAGTCAATCCACTTTACAGTATATCCTGTGAAGCATTTTGAAACATCTTAATGATGTGATAAGGTGCTATATCAAATGCAAGGATTATTATTATTAAGAATTCCTTTTTAAATGCTGCCATCAGTTCAGATATCTTAGTTTCAGTGTTTCCGCTTTCACAACATGCTTTTGTATTCATCTACTGCACAAACCATTATATTCAATTGAGAATTTGTAAGCACTGAATAAAGTAAGGTCTGATTGAACATCTTTGATGCAATATTACGGCTGTCCTATTGTCAGCTTAATTACCAACTTGCCACTCGGCAGGTACTGGCCTGCTTCACGTCCCCGCTCTTCCTGCCCACCCATCGGCAGTTGAATTTTAAGCCTATCTTCCCCTACTCTCTGGAACTCCATCCTGAAGTCTCTTTGCTTCGCCCTTCCTTCACCTCCTTCAAGGTTCGTCTCAAAAACCTTCCTCTTTGACCACGCCTTCAATCATCTTCTCCCCTTCCCCACCCCCTTGACCCCCACCTCTTCCAAATCCAAACCCCATCTTGGGTCCAACCATGGGAGGTCCTCCCGATGGGAAAGGTGCTATATAAATGCAATTTGTTGTTGTAATATTACCAGAAAATAGTCATATCAACCAGCTGCCTAGCACCAAGAGGTTNAAAAAAATTACGGTTCCACAGTACATTTTCACCGCTAAGAATATCTTGCCTCAAGTCTTGAATCACAGGATCTGAAATACTGCCTATGGATAAATCCTTTGTCTGCCTTTGACAGATGAACGAGTGAGCATTGTCAATGTTCAAGCATCCCACTGCAGTTCAGCCAAAATAATTATTACCTACTTCTGGAACCACTATTCATATTAAGGATTAATTGTTCTACACAAAAAGAGAGAAAAAAGAACATTTTCATGATTACACAAAACTCAGTAGCCAGTCAATTATTTGATGCTACCGTGATAGCAAATTATTATTTTTCCTTGATCTATTCTTATTTCATTGTTAATAAGAACTGGAGCAGAAATAGACAGGGTTCAGATCATGTAGCAATGGAAAATGAACAAGAAGGCGGTGTGTTATCTCATTTGTTAAAGCCATGAAGAGCTTCAACCCACACACACACAGTTTCTGCTTGCCCTGCTGAGATTTTAATGCCTTCATTCATAAAGATTATTTCATCCTCCACTGTGTCTCCCACTATATATATCAAAGTTGTCATGTAACAATATGTCATGAGCCCTCTTAGCTCATCTTATCGTTTAAGTGCATGCTCAAGACTTTGTTTATTAACTTCATATGTGTCTAATCCCCTTAGAATCAGGAATCCTTTTTGAAGGACTACCCATAGGATAGCAACCTATTCCACAATTTAACTAGTTGAACTATTAACTGACGACTTGTTTAGTAATACTGTGAAGTACTTGTGGAGTCCTGTAGCTCAGTGGTTAGAGTATTTGCGTTGCAAGTGAGAGACCTGAGTTCAATTCCAGGCAGGGCGAAACCTTGGGCAAGTTTCCTTACTCCACACTCCTAATAATAATCCCTCCAAAAAACAAAACAATAATAAATTGGTCAATTTGAATCCACGACTGTCTGTGGGACATTGCTGTGCGCAATTGGCTGCCGCGTTCGCCCACAAATATACAGTCAATTCACTTTACTGTATATTCTGCGAAGCACTTTGGGATGTCTAGAAGACGTGGAAAGCGCTATATCAAATGCAAGGATTATTATTATTACAAGGTGTTTCAATCCCTCCACAATCTCACCTCACCCTACAACAACAACTTCAACAATTTGCATTTAATTTATATAGCGCCCTTCACGCAGGGTAACATCCCAGAGCGCTTCACAGTGGTGGAGTCTGACAACGAACCAGGGGGAGAGGTAGGGGGTGCTTTCAGCCATTCTGCCATCTGGAATTCCACCCCAGAGTCCCTACAACTTTCTCTTTCAAGACATGTCTCAAAACATATCTCCTTGCACTTTTGGTTTTTCCTAAACCTTTTCCCTCTCCACCATGCTTGGCTCCCATCCCCAGCTCAGGCGCCCATGCAGTACTGTGAAGTGTTTTGAGACATCCTCCCAAACAGGAAAGGCTGTACGGTAGTAAACTGTAATGTAATCTTAACTTCTATTTGGCTTCCTTACTATATAATGTTTGAATTCACCCAACTTCACATGAAGATATTTGTGGTCAAAAAGCAATTAGCTCTGAGCTGAGGTCTGTGTGTTTATGTGTGTGGTGGTGGGAGAGGTGGAGGGGCAGTGAGAGTGGGAGGTTGGGGAGAAGTGAGAATGTGGGGGAGTGGGGGGGTGCAGAGTGAGAGGGGGAGGGGAATATTTCTAGCAGTGGCCAATCAGTTTTCAACAGGTTCAATAATGGGAGTTCACTCAACACCATAATTGTGTTGATAATTAACATTGTCGTTAACACCGGTGCTAATTTAGGAATACTGCAATCTTTATCCTATTCATCCAGAGAGGATAGTGAAATTAAACAGAGTGCAATTTTACTTTTTTATAGTACCTTGGTGCATCAAAATGTCTTAGAGCTTCAAAAGCAATTACTGGCAAGTGTAATGACTACCTGGGTAGATAGATCAAACAAACATGCCCAACAATTCCCCAGATAAGATTGGTGATTCACTTCATGGCTGTTGGTGAGATTTTGCTGTGTGCAAATTGACTGCCACGTTTGGCTACAAAAGTATACAGTCACTATATTACAGTAAATCCTGTGAAGTACTTTGAGATGCCTTCATGACGTGAAAAGTGTTATATCAAATGAAAGGAATTTATTAAATTTATTTATTTAAAATCAATTAATTCAACTAGAAACACAGGAACACTAGGAGGCCACTCAGCCCATCAATTCAACTGACAACATATTCTGATAGTGACATACCACTGTCAGGTCAGCATATTATGATAGTGAAATTTAGGAATATGGGACATTGTTTATTGTTACTCCACTGATATACAATCTGAACTCATCATAAAGAATGCAAAATAAATAGTTGCAGTACGTAGATGCCATTGAGATGCCTGCACTGAAGGAAACCGATAACTTCTGCATTTAATCAGGACAAATGGTTTATTTCAAGGTATCAATTCTTTGCCTGGGGAAAGATAGCATGAGATTGTCAGGAAATGTGCAGCCAATAATGGAAGTCAGTAACAGCTGACGTGAAAGACGGAATCACTTAGCATGATTGCCAAAGTTGCCTATTCAATAAATGGGATGGCTCCATAGTGATTGTGGATTAACCAAATAAATAGAATCTAAACGAGTGATGCAGTACTCTATAAATTATCTGAAAGGGAGGAAATTACATTATTTACTGGAGCAAACGTGTTTCACAATTAGGTGCATCCAGTGGATTTTGCTGGCTACATTTTAACGAAAATCCCCCACCTGTGTAACTTGAGTACATTTCACGGTAGATATTACTGTCTCCATGCCACATTGGAATCTCCAGTACACCTGCAGTGTATCATTGTGTCATTCATTCTTTGCTTAAGCATATAGGACACTTCTGACACAAGTACAGGTAACACCATTGTTGTGGGATCCACTCAGCGGCAACATGATAGCAGACTCAGGCAAGTGCCAGGAAGAAGTACCCGAAGTTCAACAAAGACAAGTCCAGTTCAGTGTGAGCAAACTCACCCTCAAAGGAACCTGGGGCAGAGATAAGGGTGCTAATCCTGACAGCAAGAAATATCAGGGCAGTAATTGACTTGCATAGATCCACCACAAGAAGGACTACTTGGAATGTAAAATTACCCAGAATGTTACCTAACATCCGGATCAGCTCCTCTAAAGATGCTGGTAGATAAAAAGCGCACACACCTCCTGGTCACAGAATACATGAGCAAGAATAACCCCAGCAAGATTTGTACAGTTTATCACAAGGATCATCATTCAGGTTTTGTGATCCTAAATAGGTTATAAAGATCAAGGAAAATGTGCATTAATTTGTCTTAAAAAATTATTGGTCCTGAAAAATGTAGTCTGCAAAGCAGTAGTCAATGTATCTCACTCTATAAAAGATATAGAGCACAGATGTGCCACAAAAGAGAAGGAAACACTTGCAATGAGATTTCCTGTGAGCATTTCCAGGAGTGCAGTAGAAGTACAATTATTCATAAGCATTTGGCTGCTATGTTGAAGGAGTCACTTGATGATGGACTATTGAAATTGCTAACATTGCAGAAATGTGACCTTCATGTGATATACACTGCTGAAAACGCATGTACACAGCTGACGTCTTGTCACAAGTCCCTAGTAAAGAGTGATGATGAAGTAATAACAGCACTGGTGTCCAAACAAAGACAACAGCAGATCAGACAGGAGACTGCTGAGGACACATACAAGTAGATTTTCCAAGGGACTCTATTAAATAGATGACACAAGCAAAAACAGTCCTTTTTTGAAAAAAAATGTGAAGTACTTTAAATACAGAAATAATGTCCTGGAGGTGGGTGCAGCGGTGGTGGTCGGGGAGTGGGGGTGTCAATAATACTGTACAGTCTTTCATCAACAGTAATAAGCTTCATAGCTTCAACCAAATATATTCCAACTCTCACTCTGCACCTGATGATGGATGAGCTCTGAAGTTGGATCAATTCAGCTTTATCTCAACTGCAACCAGTGCAGATGCAATTGAGACTTTGAACAATCTAAACTTCAAACCCAGCGAAACAACGAACTTCAATTTCTCAATCTGAAGTTTGACTTTAGTCAGTCATCAGGCAAACATTATCCATATTCTCATTCCTATCCTCACACCCTGCATCAGCCAGACTCACCCTGCACCAATGCAGTTCTATGTCCATCCACTGGACAAGGTTCCAGCTCATTTCCTAAGACTCTGATTGAACAAAAAACAAGAAATTTCAAAATAACTTAATCTCAGCTGAAAAGAATCTCGAATGCTGCAGAGTTGAACATTTCCAATTTAACCATCCATTTAATCCAAAATAAGTTTGTCTCGAGTGAAGTTGACCAGTGAATCCTAGTTTGGGATACTAATACGTGTGATTGATGAGTTCAGCCACCGTTAAGCGCTTCAAGGCATTACACAGCATGAAGGGTGCTGTTGTTGTTATACTTGGTCGTAATTTTGAAGCTTTTTTTCAGGTCTCTAAAAAACAACCAAAAATGTGCTTCAAAATTAAGACAATAGTTTAGAATTTGCCAAATTTAGAATTGTTAAAATAATAGAATAAGTCCAGACTGAGGAGAAATTATCTCCTCCCTCCCCAGGAGCTAACAAAAATATAGTATTGCATTGCTTGTCCCTCCATCATATGGTTTTGTTTTAATAACAAGGCTTATTTTGGTTTTACATGTTGCTGTACCTACCTATTTCAGTCATTGTTACTCCAGGAGCCAGCTGACCGTTTGTGATAGAGCTATATGTAAACAGGTTTGGTACAGGTGTGAGTTCATAAATAGGCTCTTGCTTGATCTGCTTGATCCCAGTCATATCTATGCCAGACTGATCCGGTGACGGCTGGGCTGAGTCCACACTGTAATATCCATTCGCTCCATCGGACTGTACTTTTGGCAGATCGATCACATGTCCGTTTGAGTAAGTGCCCCCGATTTCGTTATTCAGGTCACTCAAGCCATTACTGATGCTGTTGGTGTAGACGCGAGCGAGAGCCTCCGCCTCGCCACTCTGTAGCTGCCGCTGCTCCTGCAGTCTCTGTTGGTGCTTCTGGACCTCGGCGTACAGACTGTCACGCTGTTTTTTGGACATTCTCCCAAATTTTACAGCTGCGGACAAAACAGTGCAAGACCGATTTACTGAGCAGGCAAACAACGCTGGGAATTGAAACAAAACCATCTGCCGAATCTGCAACCTTTACCTCGATGTATCACAGCACAGAATCTATAGGAATTGTGACTTTAACACTAAGAAAAGTAATCATGCATTGTGATAACTATTGATGTTGAAATGAATACAATTTAGTGGAATTCTTCTTCATTGTTGCTAAAAAAATCTGGCTTTTCTTTTTCCTCCAATATTCCCCCCCACCCACCCCCCAAAGGTATCTGATATTTTTTTCTCAACTGTTCTTTAAAGCAACATCTGTGCTTTGACCCGTTCAGCTTTCCCCCATCTCCTCATCTGGCACTAATTCTCCCCTTGGACCACTGAGACCCTTTCTATGCTTTCATCATGTTAAGACTCGTTTATGTCAAATCTCTGCTCACTGAACTTCCCAATTCTTCCATCTACAAACTGCCGACCATTCATATCTCTGCAGCTCATCTCCTCTCCATTACTAGGCTCTGCATACCTGTCACCTCCACACTTCCAACGGCTTCCCCAACTTCTCCCTCTACAGGCTGCAGATCATGCAGAACTCTGCAGCTCATGTCCTCTCCCGCACTAGGCTCCATGACCCTATCATCCCCATCCTCGCCCAACTCCACTGGCTTTCCATCACACAGAGGATACAGTTCAAGATCCTGGTCCTCATGGTCAAAGCCCTCCACGGTCTCACTCCCCCCTATCTCTGCAAGCTCCTAACCCCCTACCAACCTGCTTGCTCCCTCCCCTCAGCGGGCTCCAGCCTGCTTCATGTCCCCCGCCTTGCTCATCCCACTACTGGCGGGCGGGCCTTCTGCCACTCTGCCCCCACCCTCTGGAACTCCATCCCGCAGTCGCTCCGCCTCGCCCCCTCCCTTGCCACCTTCAAAACCCATCTCAAGACCCTAGTCTTTGACTGTGCTTTCGATCTCCCTGCTTCCCCCCCTGCCCTTCACCCTCCCAACCCCGACCCTCAGCTTGATACGTAACTGTCTGTCTAGCGCCTTGGGACGTCCTCCCAATGTGAAAGGTGAACAATAACAACAAAATATAATCTTGTTGTTCCCATTCCCAGAGGATTAAGTTCAGAATCCTCCTCACTTTTAAATCCCCCCACGTCTTGCCCCACCCCACATCTATGACCTTCTTAATCCCTAGCAAACCGCCCACTCCCTCTGCTTAACTGGCACTGGCCTGCTTTATGCTCCCCGCCCTGTCCGGCCCACCATTGGCAGTCAGGTCTTCAGCCTTTCTGCCCCCACTCTTTGAAATGCCATCCCTTCCTTTTGGGCTTATAAATTACTGCAATAGGAATTTAAAGAGTTAAAAAATAATGTTAGCAAATGTTGTTTCTGATCTGCTCTGTACAGTGAGTTCTGGTCTCCAGGTCGTCTCCAACCTCACTTGCTGTGCCCTAGCCATGTGCAAAGTAGGACGTGGTGTTGCTGGGAACCAAATGACCATTTATCGTGAGAGCGGCCGAATACAGAAAGCATGTATGCATGTGAATGCAATGTCGTCCACTCTTCAACTGAGTTATAACCAAATTTACACTATGAAGAAACATGTTATAATGTGGCTTCACTGTAATACATACGCTCACAAATTAGAGAAATGCCGAATCCCACAACAGATAACACAAGTTATCATAAGTCTGATAACCCAAGTCTGTTGGCAAAGTAGCCCTCCCCTCTCCCCTCTCCCAATTAATACATTAAACATTTAAGACTTTACCTATAGAATTTCACATCCATTCTGCCTCAGCACAACATCTCTGTTTCTTATTCTTTCATTTGTGTCCTCACAAAGATAGAAAGATAGAGATCCGCGTCACTTAATGCAGTATTCCCGTGAGGACATCAGTCGTTCTCTGGCGAGAGGACATTTCTTTACATTCGAATGGGTTGAATTCTTACCATCACGAGACATTCCAAGAGCGAGACACTTCTGCAGGCGACAGTGCTGGCAGCGATTACGATTAGTCCGATCGATTAAACAATTTCTTTGTCGAGGACAGGAGTAAGCGGCATTGTTCTGTTGACTCCTCCTAAAGAACCCCTGACAAAAAGCAACAAATCATAGATTATTTTGCTTTCGGATATTAATATTAGTTGGTAAATGTGGTCTTTGAAATCCGTAATTTGCAACTTGGGTTTTTGTGACATACATCCAATTGCAGCCACATTTAAAATTCCTGGAGTAGCTCCTAGCTCTCAAAGTAACTCCTGCTCTCTCCACACCTTTAAAGCCCGCTTTGATACCTATCTTTTCGACTGCACTTTTGGTCACTCTCTCACCTCCCACCCCCCAGTTTAGGCTGTGTAAAGCATTCTGAGGGTCTCTCAACATATAAATGTAAATTGTTGTTGGTTTCTCCTGGCTCCTGGAGCAAAAATGACTGAAATAAACAGGGACGGCAATGATTAATACCAATGTGCATCTTGTTAAAACAGTACCAAATGTTGGAGGTGACGTATGTCTAGTTACCGTCAGGAGTTGTTATTTGCCAATACCATATTTTTGACCCCATTGTGGAAACCATCAGTGATCTCCTTTGGGGTTAAATTCTCTTTGAAATAAAAACAAATAGACTTTAACGTGAAACAAGCATCCCTTTTATAATCCTTACATTTGATTTAGCGACTTTTTTTCCATTCTTATTTAACGACACAATGGGCGATTGCCAAATCATCTGTAAATGGACCAACCAGGAATTTGTGAGCTGAAAGTTGATAAATGTCTCATGCACTTTGTCTCCTTTCACAAACTGCCTTGAAGGGTGCTATATAAATGCAAGTTGTTGTTTTGCTACTCTGATAGCAAGTCGCAAGGTCTAATTAATTTTTTTATTCATTATACAAATATTTTGTGAATATTGCAACATGAAAACCTGTTTTGATAAAATAATATGTATTATCAGCAAAATAGATGCCTGCCTGCACTAAAAACAGAGTGATCTACGTTTATCAACAACTTCATCATGTCAGCCTGGCTCAGTTGTTAGGACTCTTACCTCTAAGTCATAAAGTTGTGGGTTCAAGACCCACATAAGGACTTTGAACTCACATAATCTAGGTTGACATTGCACACAGTGTGCTGCATGTGTTTTAGGTATCAGCCTTCGGATGAGATGGTCAACCAAGTTTCCGTCTGCCTGTATTGGTTGATACTAAAGATCCCATGGCACTATTCAAAAACAGGTTCTCCAGTTGTCCTGACCAACAATCCCCCAAATAAAATTGTTTACTCACTTTGTAGCAAATTGTCAGCTGTGTTTGCCTACAAAATACACATTAGCTACACTTCACATTAAATCCTGTGAAATGTTTTGAGATGTTCTCTTGACGTGAAAGGTGCTTTGTCAAATGTAAGGAATATTATTACTTGACATCAAGGAAAAGATATGAAGGACAGGAGGATGTCATTCACAGCTGATAATTTTAGACTGCAAAACCCATGGGCGATAGAAGCTACAAATATGTTGTATTCTTTGTGCATTGATTAATGGAAAACAAAACTGGTATCAGACGTGTTCATGCTGAAGAACAAGCCGACTTTCAAACAGACATCTGGCTGCTGGAATTCAACATCTATACCTAAACATACTGAGAATTGTCAGCACTTTCACTGGATCAAACAAATCTTTGTAAGCCTATTTTTAGAGTTGATGTAAGTAGTTCAGGTGATAAAGGAGATTGTGATACACAAAACTGAGTTAGACACTGATGACAGGACACAACAACACTTGGTATTGAAGGAGAGAAACGATTAAGCAGAAAAATGATCAAAATGGAAACAAAGTTGATTGAAACTCTGGATGGGGCTGGTTGGTGAAGTAATTGGTCAGAAAAAGTGATCTGAGGCAAAAGAAAATAAGCTGCTTGATTAAAAGATGCCTTAAGATGATTACAGCTTAGTTAAAGCTGTAAGCATTTCAAGCAGGTAGCCTGCAAACACACATATTGAAAAGAGTAGTTCCATAGTAATCCTTGCATTTATATAATACCATTCACTTTGGGGTGCATGTCTCAAAGCGCTTCACAGAATCTCACTGTAAAGTGTAATGACTGTGAATTTAGTAGGAGAACATAGAAACCAATACGTTACAGCAATATCTTACAATCAGCGAATGAATTTTATCTGGGGGATTGTTGGCTAGATCACTGGGAGAAACTCTCTTCTCAGTTTTAGTTTTGAAGGAAAGGATTCCTTTCACTAATGCAAGATTTATTTTCCTTTGTATTTTGCAGGTGTAAAATAAACCTAACTTTAAATCCAAATCATCCAAATGTATTGCATCCAAATTTTAGTCTTGAAAAGATTTCAATTGTTTCCTTTGAGAAGTTACGTTCTGATTGTGGTGACAGCTGAAATTGCTTTTCCTGTGGGTTCTCTGATTCAATGTACATAGGGAACTGGTTGGTAGACTGTTAAGCAGTTATACAACAAGAACTGGCCATGAAATTGCTGTGTACAATAGTTTGCTGGACTTAAGCATAAGCTCTCACCCTGTGCAAGAGGAACAAGCTGCTTTTTACTGGGTTAATTGTTGTCCCACGTTGAGACTTTGAACTCAACATACTCCAGGCTGACCCTCCAATACAGTACTGGGGGTGCACTGCATTGTGGAGATGAAGTCCTTTGGATGAGACAATACCACTAGCTCCCGTCTGTTTGTATAGGTGGGTGCTAAAAGATCCCATCGTCCTAAGTTAGTTTCTCCCAGTTTCCTGGCTAAAAATCTCCCAAATAAAATTGATCATTCACTTTATGGCTTTTTGTGGGACATTACTGTGTGCAAAATTGGCTGCCACATTTTCCTATAAAATGCAATCACTACATTTTACAGTGGATCCTGTGAAGTGCTTTGAGATGTCCTCCTGATGTGAAAGGGGCTATATATCTGGATGTAATAGAGAGGGACTTCAATTTATGAAACAAAAAAAGCTCACTTTGAAATGTAACCAAGTGTTTGAGCAAGAAAAGTGCAAATAATTCAATTTGGTCTGTCTAGTGGAATAAACAGCCAAGAAAGATGTCCAGCAAGCACCCCAGTGGCAGTGCTCATGCTGCCCCTGATTCAGCATTGCCTGTGAAGACATCAGAGAGAGCCTTTGACTGAGGCGGTTTCAGAGGCTCACTCATCTATCGACATTGCCGCTGAGGAAGGGTGCGGCCTGCTTTAAAGAATAGCACAATAGGTTAGTAAAAGAAACCTCAGTATCCAAAGGGCCAAAGCTGAGGACTAAGACAAATATCCTGATATCTGTAATCAGATATGCCTGTGCACAAAAGAGTAATCTAAAAGATTGCCAATAATGATTCGAAATAAACACTTTAATTTTACTCAATCTGGGATAAAGAAATAGCTAACACCATAAACACTGACTGAATCAGTTATGTCTATTATAGAGACACTTTGCTAGATGCAGCCTCATACATTGTGGCAGTAAATTTGAGGCATGAGAGACGTGATTTTTATTCCCTCTAAATCGGAGAAGGTTGATTTTATCTGGATCCTCTTCCTAATTCCTTGAATAAATATGAAAACAAATGTCCGATTGTTTGAAACTACTTTGAAACAAATAGTACATATATTAATTCATCCCCTGGTCCCTTCCCTTGCCTCCTTCAAGGCCGGTCTCAAGACCCTTCTCTTTGATCATGTCTTTGGTCGCCCTCCCACCTCGCTGCCTTCCCTCACCCCGACACCACCCCTCCCAACAACAACAACAGGATTTCATTTATAGAGCGCCTTTCATGTCGGGAAGACGTCCCAAGGCGTTGGACAGTTGGGTCAGGACCCGAGCAGGGGGCAAATGGTCAGGGTGAGGGGAGGGAAGGGAGGGAGCGAGGAGGGGGTAGAGAGTCGAGAGGGGAGCTGAAGGCACGGTCAAAGAGAAAAGTCTTGAGACTGGCCTTGAAGGAGGAAAGGGAGGAAGCAAGGCGAAGGCACTGGGTGATGGAGTTCCAGAGCCCATGCTCGGGCCCCGACACCTGACTGTTCAGCGCTTTGGGACATCCTCCCGACGTGAAAGTCGATCTATAAATGTAATTTTGTTGCTGTTGTTGTTTGTAGCTTTCACATCCTCACAGACAGGATAACTGGAAAGGGACTATTTTCTGTCTATTTTGTTGACAATTTGGGAATCTTAATTCACCAATAAACTGGGTGGTTTAGAACGTGGTGTCAGTATAAATTGAAAAACGTCAAGTTAAGGAACTATGATAATACAGTCACGATCACTGACACAAAGGGAAATATCTGGAGACAATCGGGAAGATAACTCAGACAATGCTGAAATGTGGATTAAATGTTCATGTTTATCACATGTACATGTGAAAGAGGACCTCTCAAAACTGAGTAATCTAAAAGATTGCCAATAATAATTTGAAATAAACACATTAATTTTACTGAATCTGGGATAGAAAGAAATAGCTAAACACCACAAACACTGACTGAATTAGTTTGGTCTATTACAGAGACACTTTACTAGATGCACCTCATACATTGTGCCAGTAAATTCAAAACTGATCTTAGAGTGAACAATGTAAACATAGGGTTATGGCCAGTCCATAACACAGATCTCTTTACATTGAGGGACCTGACAGGTTCCTACTACTTTTTAAGTGGAATCTGAGCCAGTCCTTGGTATCAAAAAAGATTCAGAAACATTGCTCAGAGCCAAAGCAATGAAGAAATGAAAAAGAGGATAGCAATTAAAATGAGGCATTTAACAACACACAAGAGGTTCCGTGCAGTATTCTCAGGTGTTTGCCATGTTCAGTGCAAAAGGGATCCTGAATATTAAAGTCATTAGACAATCTGAGCGAAGGTGTTAGATGTACGTCTATTATTTGGCGATCAAGAAGAATGGCTAATGAGAGAGTCCTTGGGTTAGCAAAAGAAAAGAGAGAAGTTAGGAGGCTGATCATAATGAGAAAAACAGAATGATGTGGGCACACTGTACGTGAATTAACAGTCGATAATTAAAGCCCGCTGTGGGAACCCCTGCTACTTCAGCACAATGATAGTACCTGAAGTTGGTTGTCTTTGGAACTGCCACACTAAGAGCACACTGTTTAAGCACTGGTTCATGGGCTAAAAACTTATCTCAATCTGCTGTTGTTCTCAATGGTGGTGGCTATGAAGAAGGGTTATGGCTTATAATTTATGGATCACAGCTTTCAAACGTTGATATTATCATAAAGAACCAAATAAAGTGTACATGTTGTATTATTGATGTGGCTATCCCATGTGATTACAACTTTAGAAATAATTACAACTTGAGAAGATCAGCAAATACATTGATCTACAAATTGAATGTGGATGAATGTGGCAATATAAGACAAACATAATCATCAGTGCCACTGGGACTGTTAATAAGACTATTCAGAAATGGCTTGACAAAATATAAAGCATCAGCTTCCTGCAAAAACTATCTATTTTATGCAGTTCAAACATATTAAGAAAAGTAAGATTCATTCATATGTAATGTGACAGTGCTATTGTTCTGACTGATTCATCACTGAAAACTACTTAGCAACTACCTCTAACAGAGTGATTTAAACTGTAATAACATAATAATAATATTCCTTTCATTTGATCTGATGCCCATAAAGTCAAACACTTAAAGTGCTTCACAGAAATTGCTGTTAATTGCACCGAGTTTAGTACTCGCACATTTGGTCACATTCGATGCAATGAATAGTGAACGTACAGCTAAACTGATCTCAATGTCAGTGGCTGTCAGTGAGACAAATTATTATTAACTCACAGTAAAAATGTCTTGCTTACCTTACAACCTTCACAAGTGATGACTCCATAATGGATTCCAGAGGACTTATCACCGCAAATCTTGCAAGGTATCACTTCAATTTGTGCTGGGGACAAAAATATAATGCTGTCAGCAAAATTGCATGAGTGAGTGGCAGATGCAGAAGACAGTAACTGCATAAATGTTTACTATTATTAAGTGGACTAAGATAAGCAAACTGAAATATGTAAAATAGACTGAAAAGGTCTGAAATACCTCCACACCTTTTCTTTTATGAATCTGTTCAGGTATTAAACAATCCAACAGAATTGTTTGGTGTGTGAGATCATTTGGCTGCCCTAAAGACTGTTATTTCATGCGGGTCCATCCAAAAGCCAGGATTCACACACTTGAACAACAGCTTCCAGCAACTGGGATCATTTAAAGATTAAGGATCCACCTGTGGGTATGGACTAATGGACTGAACAGTAAATTTTACCACTGAAGGGCAGTTTCAGTTTGTTGTTTTATTATAGTTTTTTTCTACACTACTCCAGACCACTTCACTTGTGCTCACAATATTCTTTTGAGACTATTTTTATACATTCATTTTTCTTTCATCTTCTTCCATTATTTTCCTCTTTTCCCGAAGGTTATGTGGATGTCAGTCAGCCTGTAATGATGTACCCATTTCATTTTCAGATCTGAGCCTGGACAGTGAGTGCTGGAAAGGCTATTCCACCATAATAGATGGTCTAGATGAAGAAGGCGCTTCTGCCCATCCAATCTCATCCTTCCAGAACACCCACCATCACTGTATTAAGCTGCTTTTTAAATTAGTGTTTTGGTTTCTACCACCTTTCCTGATAATCTGCTCACAGCCTAACATTGCTCCACCCTCTAGGAGACAGCAGCCAAGGATACTCATCATGTGTGAAAATGTAGACAGATAGCAATGCCCTCCCTGTCTGTAGAGCAATGACCCCTCATAAGCCACCCTACACAAGCTTTGTTTTAACAAAGAAGTTACTTAAATTTACAAACTGTCTCTGTTGTCTCTGGATGTGATTCCACAAGTGTCTGTATAGAGGATGTCTTAAAGCGCTTTACAGGCTTACATTATACATTGCAAGTGTAGTGATTGTGTAATTTGTAGGCAAATGAGAAATTGAAAAAATTCCCAGGAATGGGAAATTTACTTTCAGATATACCAAGATAGCAAAACAAGAAGGTTTAGGGTTGGATTGGGCAATTTCAGGATAGAAACCAAAATGTATTTCTTTGCACAGAGGGTAATTAGTGACTGGAATGGGTTATCAGGAAAGATGGTTGAGGTCTAAATGCTGCACTCACTTAAGGAACTGTTTGATGCTATAATGTAAGGATGGTAGGGTGGGTATTCTTGAAGATCAAATGGGCAAAGGGGCCTCCTTCATCTAAACCATCAATCATCTAGTGATACACAAGGGAGCAAGAGTATAATTGTTTCACTGGGCCCTATGAAAGCAGCCACTCTCATATGGCCCAGTGAAGCTTCATTTTGCTGATAATCATAACACATGGGCATCTCCACTGGAAATCTGCATTGCCAACATCTGTTCACAGCCTCACATCTCTCCCCCCTCTAGGAGAGAACAGCCAAGGGTGGCTACTCATCATGTGTGAAAATGTGGGCAGACAGCAATGCCCTGCCTCTCTGTAGACAATGACCCCTCATGCGACAAGTGGCTGAAACCATCTTTTCTGATGGTGTAAATGACATCTGCTCTTTGGTATTGCCCATTTGCTGTTCATAATGACTGACATGCGCCATAATTGGGAGGGGAAAGATTACAGTGGATGTGATGTGATAATTATCACCGGCAATAATCATCACATCACAAACTGCATTTGTTGTTGTCATACCCGGAATCTGTGCAAAGTCCATAACAGAAACAAAGCATCACTAGATTCCTCTCAACAAACAGGGGAGCTGGTAGGACATTGTCAAGATTAATGGAATCTGCCACGCAACAAAAAGGTTATCGGTCACCGAGAATGGCTGAACATTGTCTCAGCTGAAAAAAAATTGTAAAACACTTTTTTTTATAGAAAAAATAATGCAGTGATTTATAATTATACATTCATAAAAGAAGCCCACATTCACTTGGAAATTGCGAGTCACTCTATGTAGCTGTGTGCTGGCTGTACGACAGAGGATATACAAAGAGTAGATCAGCCTTAAGAGGGTTTGGTATGAAGTGCACTAGTATCTGGGACAGTTACACAAAAACAGCTCTGAGCACTGAATGCTCAGGAACCAAACACGGTTTAAAGTCTTAAACAATCCTCCAGGGGTTCTGGGATGTTTTAAATGGAGACAGATACTTGGAAAGTAAGGGTGTTAAGGCAGGCAAATGTGATAGAAAGATCTGCTATGATATAACATAATAGAGGAACAGGCTCGAGAGGCTAAATGGCGTTCTCCTGTTGTTATGCTCCTTTCAGTTTTCTGAGTAAGCAGCAGGTTTCAGGCCTAGCTCCATGGGTCAGGCTGAGATGAGGAACGCAGTCTAGGTAGGTCAGTGACCATATGCAGTCACTTGTTCTGGGAACATTATAATTGTGTTTTTCGTTACTCAGAGCATAATTAATGCTGGAACAGGTTGTAATGAAGAATGATGGAGGCCAGGACACAAGACTCATTTAAAAAGCAGGGTGGACATTCTGGAGGGATGAGATCAGTTGGGACAAAGGGCCTTCTTAATCCAAACCAATCTTGTGATTTTGACTGGTATTGGTGAAGAGCACATTGAATTCCACTAGGTGGCACAGCATGCTTACGTACTCTCAATCACATTGCTTCTCAAAAAGTTATTTAATAGAAACATGACTGTGCTTTACAAAATAGATCACAAGAGAGGTTTAGATGAAAGAAGCTCTTTGGTCCATCTGATTTCATTCTACCATTCTTCCATCACAGAATCAAGCTTTTTTTAAAATGCCCTGATCTACTTTTTCTAGTTACTCTGTGCAGTTGTTAATGACACTCTGGGTTAAGAAATATTTCCTGGTGTCTGTCTGAAATCGCCTTTGCTACCCTAAATCCGTGCCCTCTGTTTCTGCTGTTTTGGTGCATTTGAAAATACTGTTCTGGGTTTGTTTTGTCAGTCCCATTTAAAATATAATACAGTTTGCTACATTGGATTGAAAATGTGGTATTCACCACCTGAATCTGGTAAATTGGAATGACCTTCAAGAAGGCTTTGTTTTGGATCGGAACTGCCATGGATCGTCATGATGTATTTCATGTTACCGTCAGGAATCAAAACAGTGATTCAGAATTTCTGTTTAGTAAATACTGCATTTCCAAACCCACTGATACAATTTTAAAAAAGATATTGAGCAGATTGTAACTTGAATGATTTGTAATCAAATCGAATTTGTGTCAACACATACTTAATATCTGTTGCAGATACACATTGCATTTGTTCATAATTATAGATCTGCATGTGTATAAAGAAGATGGTGCTTACTGCTCCGATCGTCTATTATACTCAACACAAGTGTTGTATTATGTAAATTATTTTAAGCCTTTCTGAAAGGTCAAGCAAGGAAATTGAATTAACTTGTTTTAGATGGAAGTAAACGTTTGGGGTCCAGTTACTGCTTGCTGCTTGGGATAGTCACATTTCTATATTGGGTCACTGTTGGGAAAATCCTCCTTACACTATCAAAGTTGTTAAGTACTAAACACAATTTCTTGTCCTTTTGTGTCTTGGGAAAGGTACTGTCTTTATGAAGTAGTGTCCAGCAAAGCTTTTTGTGCTTGTTTGGGGTTATGAGAGAGGGTTCGGAAAAATCTTTGGTTATTTTCATCCCGATGGCGATCATACGATGAGTTTAAACACAATTTATCCAATCTCATCTCCATGTTGACAGTGCCCTTCAAAACATATGCCACAGAGACAAGTGCTACAAGCAAAGGTACAGATTTTGACATTTGGTGACCAATAAGAAAAGTTTGCAAGCAGTGTTTAAACCTTGTGGACAAGGCATTGTTTCTTTCTTGGATCACAAACACACCTCAGGAAAGTATCAGCTAAAATCTTGAGTCAGGTTTTGCTGAGACTGCACACTTTCCGTAAATAGATTAGAATCTAATCCTAAATGCTATCATGGATATGCTATCCATTCTACGTCAGAACGCATCTTAGCTCCCACATCATCATCCCACATGTAAAGCTGGAAATTCCACCTGGTTTAAGCCCACAAGACCAGTTTGTCTAACAATTTCTGCTCACATAAAATTCTGAAACATTTTTAAAATCAGTTTAAATTTGAAAGCCAGTTTTTAGTTTTTCTTAAAAGGAACCGGCTTACAAAATAAGACTGCATTTAAGAATTTTCCACAATTCTTCACCATCTCAAATTTTAAGACAAAATCATATATTACACATTAAGATTACAGAGTCTCTTTACACTGTCACCTTATGTTTGATATTGTTCATTTCAAGAAACATTAGAGCAGGCTCTCAAGGCAGCATGCAGCAAAAGAATGGTGAAACCATATGAAAATTAGCAGTTCTCATCTCTGACTGTATTATCAATGGTAAAACATTGTCGTAGTTTGTAAATAGAACCATGTAAAACAATATACTGCACAATCCCCAATTCATAGTATCCAACTAGTTCAGCATCATCATAGAGCTCTACCTGCCTCAACACATGGAGCAGTATATCATTTAATATAATGCATTGTGAAACATTCTTAAAATCAGTTTACATTTGAAAGCCAATCCTTAAAAGGAACTGGCTTCCAAAATAAGACTGCATTTAAGAATTTTGCACAATTCTGCACCATCTCAAATTTTAGTTACTGCAGCTCTTATTTACTGCAATACAAGTACTTTAAGATCCTTTGATACAAAACAATGCCCTCTACTTACCAATAACTTCAGTTTTCATTTTCTATTGACTTTGACACATTCTATCTTTAGGAACAGTAGGGTACTGTGACTGTCCCCCCCAACAGCCAATAATGATCCTGCTACAGCTACAGTACAGTAATAGCATTAAGAAGGAAGAATTATTGAAGAAATGGACTGTACCATTCATAAATTATAGATACAGGGGTGTCTTTTATCTTCAACACATGGTCAGTGAACTTCTTCCCTTATCCTGGTCTGGTTCCAACAAAGGTCGGCTTTGTCAGACAATGCAAGTACGTTGAACAGAATTTTTACCCCCACCGAGTTTCAGACCTCACTGGGCATGAAACTGCCTCTGAGCTTTTTCAGCTGCTTGTATGAAAGCCACGTACAGGCATTTAATCTGCAGCATCTGCACAATTACAGTCCAGGTGAAAAGGTTCCTTATCTATTTAAAGTTCCACTGGCCATCCACTCAACGTCAGCGCTGTGCAATTTTATCAAATTTCGAAACAGAATCACAATAATGTGGTGCTGATTGACAAAATTATCTTATCTTCATCTTCCCATCTACTAAAAATAATTCAATCTTTCAAGATTGTGTGTGTCAACCTGGCTCAGTTGGTAGCACTGTTACCTTTGAGTCAGAGGATTGTAGGTTCAAGCCCCACATCAGGTCTTGGAATTCACATAGTTTTGGCCAGCACTAATGCAGTGCTGGGAGTCTGCTGCATTGTTAGAAGTGCTGTTATTCAGATGAGACATTATACCAAGGCCCCATCTACCTGTTCAGTCGGAGTATACTGTTCAGTGGAGCGATTGTATTTCTGGGTGAGCGCAGCTGCTAATTTGTCACATAGAGTCAAGAAGTCAATGAGCACTTTTTTTCTGGGGTATTGTTGGCCAGACAGGACACCAGGAGGAACAATGCGGCACACCCCCAGCACTGCATTGGAGTGAACCCAAAATCTCTGACTCGGAGGCAATAGTGAGCCAGGGTGAGAATAATGATAATTATACACATATACAGATTCTGCAAGGTATGTCCAAACAGGTTTCCGCATGTTCAGTTCAGCGATATAAATCCTAAACTGTAGATCTTACTGAACTCTTCTATATATAAACTCATCCAAAAAAGCATCTTTAAAAAATGACTTATAACAACAACAAAATTACATTTATAGAGCGCCTTTCACATCAGGCAGACATCCCAAGGCACTGGAAACTCACAAACCGTGACTCACTCATACTCGATTCGTATTATGTTAAATAGTATCTCATAACGTTTCACTTAGATCCACAGCCAGTGGAAACAGAACCGGACTGACTGGAGGACATGGCTCATCTAACTCCAAAATATTTTGCTTCTTCTGACTTCACAGGAGCCAAATATTCTGGCTTAGGTGAGTGCACTCTTGCCTCTGAGTCAGAAGATTATGAGTTCAAGTCCTACGTCTGGACTTGAACTCATATAGTCTTAAGCTGCCACTCCAGAAACAGTGCTGGGGATGTGCTGCAATGTTGCAGGTGCCGTCCTTTGGATGAAACGTTATCCGAGGTCCCGTCTGTCTGTTCAGGTGAACGTTAAAGATCCCAAAGCACTATTCGAAAAGAAAAGGGAGTTTCTTCCAGTGTCCTGGCCAATAATCTCCCAAAATAAATTTGGTTCCACCAACCGCCATGAAGTGGAGGACCAATTTAATTTGGGATTTGTGGCACAGGACCCCTTTTCATGAAAAGTCCTCAAAAGTGATAAGTTGTAGACTTTCCTGCGATGATATTCTCGGGCGAATAATATCTTGTTCATGCAGACGTTCCAAAAGGAAATGGAATGAAGCGATCGAAAAGTTAATTGACAGATTTACATTAAATAACAGTGAAATACAAGCTTACATGGAAATACCCCAAGAGCCCACTGTGTTTTGAAGTTGCTATTCCTGGCTGATTTCCATTTCCCAAGATTCCCTTTGAGCACGCATGGTACATTTTTAAGCAGGAACTCTTGTAGATGGCCCTGGAAGTAGCTTTCTTTTATCGTTCTGCCAAACAGATGGGATGCTGCTCGCAGATCAAATGCTTTGTTATTTCTTTTGTTGACTTCAGTCAGCCCCCTCGAGAAGCAGCAAGACAATTCACTTTGAAAACTCTTTCAGTGAAGCTTCTGCTGGATGCATCTGCTGAACCGTACAGGAAATGGAATGATATTCTGCAAAAAATCGCAACCAATTTTGGGCAGAGCGCAGTTACTTCGGGGGCTTGAACAGTGCATGTCATTAAGGAGACAAGCGATGTGCCTTTGATGTCTTCTGCTAAATACAGATGATTATATCTCTCTCCACCAACAATTTAGCTTTTGAACCATGAGTGACTTCCATAGAAAATTTGGGTGCATAATTCTCTTCCTATTTTAAGTCAACGAGAATGGTGTTCAAAGCCACAAGACTGTTTTAGTATAGTCTGTATGAGACATTGTACAATGTATTCACTTTCTATATGTTACCTTGCTGATGTGCCACCTCTGTGATCATACATTATGCAACCGAGCAGAGCTACAATGCTCACACACACACACACATATACACGCACACACATACACGGTACTTCAAAGCACACCCTCCAGAGCTGATCTTGCATTTTCAATTTATTTTTCGAAAAAATAATTTTATTTTTCGACCCCCAGGGAAGTCAGACACATATCTCCGGTAAAATTCCACAGAATAAGATGCACACCAGCTTTCTTATTCCCCGAATGTCAGTGAATTATAAGAACATCAATGTGGACTGAGGCAATGGTAACTCAAGCCCAATCCCTGATCATGTCGAGTTTACCGTTATAATAATAATAATCCTTGCATTTGATATAGTGCCTTATCACGTCTTTGAGCCATATCAAAGCGCTTCACAGAATATACTGTAAAGTGAATTGACTGTATATTTTGTGGGCGAAACGCTCTGTACATCTCATCAAAATACTACTAATAATAATCCTCATACTGCACAACACTATGGACATCACTTGATGTAACCTTAGGGCAAGGATTATTATTATTATTATTAAAACTGCCTGCTCCCTTGGCTCAATGGGCATGGACCTGTTGCTTGTCCCCCAATCCCTCCGCGCCACCATCAGTGCCCGAGCCTTCAGTCTCTATGGAATTTCCTGCCTCAATCCCTTTACCTTGCCCTCTCTTTACTTTTAAATCCCACCTTGAGACTTATCTCTTTGAGCACACCTATAGTTACCTCTCAATCCTCTCCCCCACCCCATTCGGTGACCAATTTTATATTGTGCATGCTGTAGGATGCTGCCCTGCATGAAAGGTGCTGTATAAATGAAAAATATTGTTGTTGATGCATTTGATACTGTACCTATAATGTTGAAAATTTCTCAAAGAACTTCACAATATTTTTGAAAACTATATTGACTGTGTATTTGTAGGAAAACTCAGCAGTTAATTTGCGCATAGGAATATCTAACCAACAGCCACTGATCAATTTTTGGTCTGCCTGATTATTGGCCACGACACTGGGAGAAACTCTTCTTTTTGCGTGATTTCAAGTTTATTGCCTCATCCAAAGGACGGATATATAGTTTGCCTCTTTTGCACTGTAATGCCATTGTTTCATGCAATAGAAAGAGGGCTAAATAAAGGTGTATTAAGATCTACCTGTAACAATAAGTTGTCAAGCTTGTGTATGTGTAATATATTGTCACATGCAGTCAACAGTGAGGGTTGGGTTGTCCATTACATCTGGGAGAATTTGTATTTTTTTATTGTTTTTCAAATTTCTCTTACTCTCCCCTGGGAGATTAATAGGGGACAGTAAGAGAGATTTGATAAACAATGCAAAGGTGTTCTGTGGTCATTGTTTCAGAGATGATGGCTAAGTTATTTCACAGCAAATTGAATCAGTCCTTTGAAACTTCCCGAAACTTGAATCAATGATTCGTTCAAAGGGCTGTTTTTCAGATTTCTCCCAGAAGTAATGGATGTTCTCCCTTCCCTCTTCCACCCCCGCTCCGTTAACTGCATGTAACAATGTTTTTCTGCTATGTTTTCTTAAAAATGCTTTATCCGGAGAGGCCAAAAGATCTCTAAACGTATCACTTAGCAAAGCAGATTATGAGTAAACATTCCGTTCTTTCTGTTTTGTTTAATTCTTTTACTTATTACTTTTAAAGTCTGTGTATATAAATCTATATAGTATATATAAATACCATCATACGATTTGTATAGAATTTGAAATTATAAAATTATTTTTAATTGGTAAAGCTGGTGTGATTGCTGATATATTTCCATCCTTATTTTGTGGAGACTCGGGTTTGATTGTCTATATTTGCTGCTGTTTTATTGTCAGCCTGAGCTTGATCGTTTGCACATAAGGAGCGAAGCCTTGTGCAGCTGAAATTTATAGTAAGAAAGGGGCTACTGAGGTCACTAGATAAGAGATAAGCCAGACGATTGTAGACCTGTGACACTACCATATTAAGATTTTTTTTGACAGGTGTTAAAGCTCTCAGGGTTTCCCAGCCACCAACATATCCACAATAAGGTATCTGTGACTCCTTTTACACTGATATATTATGCAGCAATTTTAAAGGATTTTTTTTCAATGGTACAGAGATTAAAGAAGGGATGAAGGGATCTGTAAAACTCTGAAAGGTTTTGAGAGGATAAATAGTGAAAAATAATTCTTGTTCGTGGGTGCATTTGTAAAAAGAGGGCAAAAGTTTAGAATTGTTACTGGTTATAATTTTTTGGTGCAGAGGGTATTTAGATGATGAATGCTTTGTCACAAGTGGTTATTGATGCTAAGACCATGATGAGGTTTATAAAGTAATTGAAATACATATATCATTGGCATCTTGGCTGCCCCGCTCGCTCACAAAATGCAGTTACACAGAATATTCTGTGAAGCACTTTGAGACGCATTGAATAAGGCACTATGTAAAATGAAACAAAAATCTTTATTATTATGATAAGAAACAATACAAGCTGCAGGTCCCCCTACCTACCTGCCCGTACCCTCCGTTCCTCTGGCTCCGGTCTGCTCCAC